CATCTTCTGCAGACGCAGCTTGGGCAGCTTCTAAGGACAGAGATGCTCTGCAAGGTTATCTCCCAGAGAGCACGTCAAGCTTTTTTTAGAGGCAGAAGACAAGGTTTCTGTTCCTTCAGGCTTCTCAGAATTAAGACATGAGGCTTTTGAGATGTTTGGTGGGGAACAGATGTGCCCAGACAGTTGTACATGACATGCAGATCTTTTCCCCATCTGTTAGCATTTTCAAGATGGATCCTAAAATGCAGTTATGTTTGAAAATTGGTGGGCGCGCCGGGGGTGGGGGGGCAGAAGGTATCCTCGCCTAGTCTGCAAAAAAAGCTGGGGCCGGCCCTGTTCCTAGGTTGCATTTTGCAAGGGAGAAAGTGCATCAGTCATGCTAGCTTGAGAATGCCTAGGCTATAGCACTGAAGGAGGATGTCCCAGTTTCCTCTCAGAGCATTCTCATTGTGTGACTGCTTCTCTGAATTGTCAGATGTGGGCTTGTTCACATCCGTAAGAGCATATACGTCATTGGGTATTTCAGGGAAAAGAGCTAGGAATATCTCTTCCTAAACACTTAAAACCTGCTAGACAGTCATTCTGACTAAGCTTGAATTTAGTAGTACAGAGGAAAAGCCAGCGGGGGGGGGGGGGGATGGGAACATAAGGGAAATACCAAGCCATCCTTAGTAATAATTCTACAGAACTGACTTTTAAGGGAAGTTTAATTTTAGGTGCATTTTAACCTGCTTGGGAAATTGTACTTACCCATGTGAAGTTTTTGTTGTTGTTGTTATTAAAACTTTATTGATAAGTGACAGGAGACAATAAAAAAATCTCAATAGTAAAATCATTTTAAAAGACAGATTTTTTTCCTTAATACTTTATTATGAATATTTCAACACAACTTCCAATATTACAACAAAGAAACCAAGTAACTTAATACATAAAACAATAATACAGACAGAAAATTTGATATCTCTTCAGTATCCCCTCCTCCCTCAAACTTCCTTATCAAGTAAAGTCATCCCATTAAATGAATATATTTGACTTACAATGGTAAAGAAAGCTAATGGTAAAGAAACCAAGTAACTTAATACATAAAACAATAATACAGACAGAAAATTTGATATCTCTTCAGTATCCCCTCCTCCCTCAAACTTCCTTATCAAGTAAAGTCATCCCATTAAATGAATATATTTGACTTACAATGGTAAAGAAAGCTAATATCAATGGGTAAATAAAATAAAACAAGGATATGAAGAGAAAGACTTTATATGTATGGGTGAGGGTTAAATAGTTCTAGAAATAGTTCTAGAAATAGTTGCCAAATTGTGTTGAATATTTATGGATTATGACTCATCACTCATAGAGAAATCTTTCTCAGTTGTAGATAAAGACTGTGACTATCAGAACAGCAATAAAGTTCTATTTTCTACAAATGAATATAGGCATTTCTGGATGTGCCCAAACTGCAGGATTGTATCACAGAAGAGGATAACTGAATTCTAGCTGTGAAAGACTGTAGGGTGGTTGAATGAGAACTGTAGTTATCTGACAAGACAAAATTGATTCTGTCAGTGACAGATTTGAAAAAAGAAAAAAAAAACCAGTGCCAGAACAATTCCCAAACATGTGGAGTGGCTTACTTGAAAAACTCCATATCTGCAATATTTGTCATTTTGTAAAATATCCACATCAGAAAAAAATTGGGGGGAATAATGAGTATGAGCTTTAGTTTTATGTCTAAACTTAAGCCTAATTTGAAAGTAAATAGATGAGGTGATTGCTTTAAGGCCAGCCTTCCATTGTGTCTTTGCCATGAATTTAATTATCTCAAATGGTCCATGTTATGTTTGAGGATATCTCAAACAGTTACATAAAATTGCAGATGGTTTCAAGAGGAAGGACAGAATTTTAAGAAGGTCTCAAATTCTTTGAGGCACTGAGGCAGCAAGCACATCAGCAACAAACTACTGAGACAGACATAACTGCAATTATGTCAAGATTTTGCTGTTTCTGGTAATGCGTCAGTTCACTAACTGAGATTTACTGGACTTTGGCCAATCATAATAATGTCTACATAGCTGCCTCACTAGACATGTTAGAGAAGACTCATCCATCAGCTGAGAGTTGTCTCTTTGTAGAGGGAAAGCATAAAATGAACCTAACTTAAATTTTTAACTGGATTCAGGTTCAGCATCTTTGTATCTCCTTGTCCAGTGGAATAAATTATTTCTTAAAATAATGGAATATCTCATTCCTTGACATCTGAATGACTTCCTTAGAGCGTATATAAATTCAGTATATATGTTGGGTGGTCGTTAAGATGTGGTTAGGATGCCAGACTAGGATCTGGACAACCCATGTTTATATCCCAACTCTGCCATGAAATTTTCTGGGTGACCCTGGGCCAGTCACAGTCTCTCTTAGCCTAACCAACCTTAGAGGGTCATTGTGAGGATAAAATGCAGGAAGAGAATGCTCCTTGGAGGACAGATGAAATAATAGGGGATTTTTTCTGTTTATATGGCTGGCACTCCTGTTGATGCCCTGGTTGACCTCTGAAATGAGGAAATGACCTGGGCAGTCAATATGATCATTCCCAGGTGTCATCTCTCAAGTATTAGAGTCCAGGTAGCCTCTAGTTTACTGAGAGGCTGTGGGAGACAAAAATACAAGGGAGACAGCAACAGTGACAGTGGAGGAAGACTCAGGCTGAACCTGATACGACATGGGCAAAAGCTCATTTTAAAGCATACTCCATGGCAATGATAGCAGTAACGAAACAACACTTTCAAAGCACCATTGCATCTGCACAGTGTACGCCAGTGGAGCCATTCTAGGTGGCTGCTGTGACAGTTTTGCTCTGCATGCTGCAGATAAAATCTTTTGCATCCATTCCCACTTGGACTGTACATTAGCAGTGACAGGGTTGGATGACTTGTCCAACTGTTCAGGGCACTTTTCAGTAAATTCAGTCTGAGGATGTGGGCAGGATCTTGGAAGTTTGAGGTCTGCCACCTGTTTACATGATCCTTGCACATCCTGGTTACTTAAATCTTCCAGTGGTATCCTGGCTGACTGGGTTGGAGAAGTAGTTAATGCTTCCCTAAGAGAGGGTTTAGGCCTGATGATGGAACTGAAACAGCCTTAGTTGTTGTGGTGAATGACTTGTGCTGGGTGATTAACAGAATAAGCGTAACTCCTCTCAGCTGTTTTTGATCCTATTGATCATGGTATCCTTCTGTACTGCCTATCTGGATGGGAATTGCAAAGGACCAGTCTGTGGTGGGTCAGGTCCTACCTGGAGGGTGGGTTTCAGAAGGTGGTGCTGGGGGACTGCTGCTCATTCCTTTCTCCTATGGGATCTTGCAAGTTTGTAGCTTTCCCCCTATGCTCTTTAGCATTTACATGAAATTGCTAAGTGAGGTCATCTGGAGATTTGGGCTGCACTATTACCAATATGTGGTGACACTCAGCTGTATCTCATGCTTCCAGCTGATTCCAGGTACACTGCAGAACCCCTCAGTTGGTGTATGGAGGCAGTTTTGGAGTGGATGCAGGCTAATAAACTGACAATCCCGACAAGACAGAAGTGCTATTGGTTGGGAGAAGGTTGGACTCAGGATTTAAGGTGTTCAAGATAGGGTTCTGGATAGGGTTCCACCTGTTCTGGATAGGGTTGCACTACACTTGAAGGAACCAGGGGTCTTTTGGGGCCGGAGCGTGCTGGAGCGCCGCTCCAGGAGCCAGAGGCGGTGGCAGCAAACCCCGCCCCCAGCTCCCCACGCTGCGCCCCCCTGCCGCCTTGGCGGAGGCTTGATTGGGGTGGTTGGGGGGGAGAGCCTCCCCCTTCTTCCCATCTCTTTGCCCTCTTTCTTTCCCTCCTTTCCTTCCCCTTTCCTTTTCTTTCCCTCCTTTTCTTTAAATCTTTCCCTTTTCTTTCTTCCTCTCTTTTCCTTCTTCTTTCTCTCGCTTTACCTCTTTCCCTCCTTCCCTTCTCGCTCTTTCTTTCTTTCCCTCCTTCTTTCTTTCCCTCCTTCTTTCCTTCTCTTTCTTTTCCTCTTTTGTTCCTTCTTTCCTTCTCTTTCACTCTTTCATTCCTTTGTTCCTTCTCTCTACACTCTGTCTCTCTCTTTCCTTCCCTCTTTCCTCCTTCTGCGGCCCAACTCTAGTCAGAAGGGGTTTAAACCCCATCTCTCTTCGTCCCCCCCCCCCAAGGGAAGGGAAGGGGAGGCTTTTGAATATGCCTTCCCCCCCCGCTTTTGCTTCCCCTTCTGACATCACTCCCGGTGATGTCAGGTGGTGTTGCATATGCTAATGAGCTATTATGCTAATAGCCTAGTAACTCATTAGCATACCATATGTTAATGAGCTCCTGCAGCTATTTTTCTAGGAAAAGACCCCTGGAAGGAACCATAGGCCTACAGCTCAATAAGGAGGTGGCAGCTGTGGCCAGGAGTGCCTGTTACCAGCTTCAACTGGTTAGTTGTGGCCTTTCCTGGGCAGAAAAGATCTGGCCACTGTGGTGCATACTCTAGTTACACTGAGATTAGATTACTGCAATGTACTCTATGTAGGGGTACTCTTGAGAAATGTTCAGAAATTTTAAGCGGTACAGTACGCTGCAACCAGGATGTTGAGTTCTAAGGACCATATCACTCAAGGCTTGGTCTATCTTCACCAGCTTCCAATTTCTTTCTGGGCACAATTGAAGGTGCTGGTGTTTACCTCTGTTTTGTATGTATTTTAACTCTGTTTTTCAGTAGTTTTAATGATATGTGTTTGGGAGGAGGGCTGATTTTAATGGTTTTTAAATTTAATTTTATCATGTATGTTTGAAATGGTTGGCCACTTTGGTGGCCATTGTTAGGCAGAAAGGCAGGATACAAATTCTGTAACTGAATAATTACATTATCAAAATGAATGAAAAATGTGTAAAGCAAAAAGCAGTAGGAACAAAACTTTGGATTGTTCTATTGAATGCAATAATCTCTTTTTCATTGTATCCACAGGTGTTTTATGTCTCTGACCTCTTCAAACAGAAAACAAAGGCTCCTCTGCCTCCTCCTCCAATCCGGAAGGAGATCCTTTCACCTGTGGATATCATTGACAGGAACAATCATCACAACATGGTGTAAATGATTGACAGATTTTTTTAAAAAAATGTTTTGTTTTTTGCAAAATGACTGCTGACAGCAACTACCTGCTGCTCTCAATCTCATCAGACAGTAGAATGTAGGGAGAGACTCTCACCTGACCAATAAGGTCTTACTTGGTGGCCTTTATATTCTTACAACATTTGCATAAAATGGGTGTTGTTTAACTAAGTCTAAGGCAGAATGACAAAACAATTCAAAACATGCAGGAATTCTAAATGTGCAACTGGCTGAGTGTTCATGTTGTAGTGAATGCTGAATTGTTCATAGCTTAATGAACACTAAATGATTCTAGGAAACTGGCCATCTCTGCATTTTTTCACTATGATGACTTTCAATTCCTGTTGAGAGAGGGGAAAAAGAAAAGGAAAAAAACCCCTCACCATCCTAGACTATAGCACTGCCTACCAGAAATAAGCACTGATTCAGGATTTGTGATCACTTTCTAAGACTAATCTCTTTTATTTTATATATCGGTTTTCTTTGACTCCATTCCATACTGTGACTTAATTTTGGTTTCGAAGAAGCTTGCTCAATAAGATGTTGCAAGGGTTTCTATTCCCACTACACAAATCTTGGGGTGGGGGGACTTTATATACCTGATTAAGCATAAAGGAATCCATTGTCCATTTGGTACATAATACAATTCACAGGTTTTTTTCCAGCTATCATCTTTCTAATTTCCCTTCAGCATCTGTATGACATTGTCCATGTTCACATTTTTTATTCTCTATTAAGCATCAAAGAGCAGGTTAGACTTGTCAAATAGGGAATGCTTGAGAAGTGCAGAACCCACATCTTTTCATACGTACCATTACCAGTACTGTATGAAATGTCCAGCCTGCGTAGAACTTGCTTTATGTCCTGGTAAAATATCCCTCTTGTTCCCCTTGGCGTACACAAATTGCTAAAGTAATTTCTGAACAGTTGAAGGCCAACTCATTTTAAATTCACAGGATGTTCTTTTATTAGTCGGTCAGTCTCGTTGATATATGTTAGCACTATGGGATCTGGGCTTCAGACCTAGAGAATGTGGATCCTGCATATCTGGGACGGACTGCTGGGCGGAACTGTCCTAATATGACATTCAGTGAAATCCATCTCCTTATTTTCCATGGCCTCAAGGAGAGGGATTGTTAGAAACTATTCATTAGACACTAGGCCAGATGCTGCTCTCAGTATCACCAAGGGCACACGAATAAGGTAAAGAGGAGTAGAACTTTGCCCAGTAACTCTCCTTGAAGGCTTTCAGATATGATTCCAAAAGACAGATGTTTTTAAAAATGTTTTAAGAACTGAATAGCGAATGCTAACTAAGCAGACTGGCCTTTGCACATCCTTGTCATACAGAATCCGTCCTATCATTTCAATGCTAGCAAGCTATGATTTTTATAAATATATATAAATATTATATAAATAATGTATAAAACATTAAAAATTAACTATGTAAAATATTATTTCTGAAACAATTTTAGATATATCCACTATGATTATAAACTGTGTTTTGACCTGTGTTATTTACATTTTGCTGCTTAAAAAAAGCATTGACTTAATTTTTATAGTCAACTAAAATATTGTAGTTCTGTGGTAGCAATATTTTAATGAAAATAACAACTAAAGACAATTGTATAAAATCATATTAAATTGTCTGTATTTTTGTAATGTTTCTTTTTTTGTAAAAAGAAGAATATGCAAGATTTTTGTAGAGTACAAAATTAAAGTTTGTATTTGCAAAAACATTGCTGTATAAATGTGCTTTATAAATACGTTTTCTAGGCACAATTAATTCCTCTACTGTGAGCTCATATTTTGCATTTGGTTACTATTTAGAACCTGAAAGCAAAGGAAGGTTGCCCTGGAAGATAGTTATTTTCTCACAGAAGAGGCACTATACACATATCTTCATGCGAATGATCTTGAAAGGGTGTTTGCTATACAGCTTATAATTTTATTATGTTGTTGATGTATTGAATCAGGGAAAAATTAATCTTAACATCTTTTAAGGAGCATCTCATGGTCTTGTTCAGCACACTGAACGTTTGTGGGACACAATCTAGCATAAGCATTCTTCCTTCATTTAACTTAACTGAATGTGAAGGATTGTAGCAAAAACATTTAAACAAAGTTTTATCAGTCCCTGGATCAGTGGCATAGCATTCTATAGTAGAATCCTGGGCATTGTGCCTGTGGTTCACAACCTGCTGTGGAAGTCACAATGGCATAATCCACTTAATAGTGGAAAGTGCCATAAAGCTGCAGCTGATTTATGGTGGCCTTGTAGAGTTCTCAGGGTGAGAGACATTCAGAGGTGGTTTGCCATTACATGCCTCTGTGTAGCGACCCGGGACCTTCTTGGTGGTCTCTCATCCAAGTACTAACCAGGGCTGATCTTGCTTGGCTTCCAAAATCTGATGAGATCGGGCTAGCCTGAGCCATCCAGATCAGGGCATAATCCAGTTAAGTACTTAAAATAGAAGAGAAATCAGTGAGACTGAACCCTGATTAACTTTGTCTGTACTATTTCCATCACATAGCTAACTACTATTTCATCAATCTATATGCCATAGTATTCCAGTAAGTGGGCAATGATGTTATTATGTATGCTACAGCAAACTTTAAATTAAATTTCCCATGGTTGTGTAAACCAAAAGGCCAATGAGAAGACAAGCTGGTCTCCTGATACTTAATTTGTTTCACTGTAAATCAAAGCAGCTTGAACCTTTAGTGATTTCTCCCTTTTGCTCATACTGAAACTATGAGTTCTCCACTTCTTTAAGAAGACATTGGCTATATTATTTGTAATACAGTTTTACAATTTTATAATAATATGTAATTTTTTACCATTAATTCACAAAATGAATGAGGAATGGTGAATGGAATAAGGCCATCTGGGCTCTGACTAGGAAGTTCCTTCCAAGACCTGTGTTCACTGTACATAGTGGCTAAATTTTGGTTAGCTCCTAATAACTATTTTTAGCCCAGTATTTGCCAATACGTGATTTTAAATTAAAACTTACAAGGCCTATTCATGTTTATTTATTTATTTATTTATCAGATTTATACCCCACCCTCCCAGCCGAAGCCTTATCTCCCTTATAAATAAAAGCTGAATGGTGGTGGCACTTCTCTAGAACATTCCACACGCTCCAAAATCAGTTCGCTCTCTGATCTGTCATTCAGAGGGTCTCCCTATCCACTGGGTGCTTTGCCTGAGTCCTGCCTCCAACATTCTAAACATTTTGCTGCTCCTCTTCCCCCCATAGCCAATCAGAACACAGAGGTTATTTGCATATGCAGCCTCACTGGCCTTTGCCTTGGAACACAGAGGTCGTTTGCATATGTGACTTGATTGGCTTTTGCCTCTAACATTCTAAACAGTTTGCTGTTCTGAGGTAAAATGTGTCCAATCTCCAGGTGAGGGCTGGAGATTACTCAGAATTACAACTGCTTTCCAGATGGCAGAGATCAGTTCCCCTGGAGAAAATGGTGGGCTCTGTATCCTTATATGCTGCTGAGGTGGCCCCCATATGACAGCCAATATGACGTAGCAGGGCTTCAGAGCACGGGAGAGGCTACAGGTGTGTGGGGGGTGGAAAGCTGAAGAGTGAGGGGAAAATAAAGGTAGGTTGATGGTTGGCTGGGAAGGAGATAGGGTTGTCAACTCCAGGTGGGAAATTCCTGGAGATGTGAGGGATGGAGCCTGGAAAGGTTGAGGTTTCAGGAGGTGTGAGACCTCGGACAGGTACAAAGCCATAGACTCTCCACTCCACTCCACTCCACTCTCCAAACCAACTATTCCCTTCTGGGGAACCATCATTGCCAATCTCCAGGTGAGGGCTGGAGATCACTCAGAATTACAACTGTTCTTTAGGTAGCAGAGATCAGTTCCTCTGGAGAAAATGGTGGACTCAGTGTCATTATACCCTGTTGAGGTCACCACAGCAAATTGACACTGAGTGTCCAAGGCCGGGGCACCCGCCCAGAGTCTCTTCCTAGAAGTCGTTGTATTTATTTCCACAACGGGCCTTTTTCCTAGTATTCAAGATATAGATTAAGACTCGTGTCAGGTTTTGATATGTTTAGGCACATTCAGATGGCCACAGCTTGGCAGAAAACTCACTTCTTAAGATTTTTGATCGATGGCCCATTTTCTATTATTAGAGGTGTCTGGAAGCAATGAAGAAAGCAGAACTTTAGAATAGCACTATGCTGGGTCTTTCTTGCTTCTTTTAGACCCAGCTGCACTGATGAGGATAAAAGGGACAGTGAGAAGTTAGAAATTGCTCGTCAGATCATCATACTTGTCACAAGTGGGTGGAAAGGAGGTCAAAACAAGGGAAGACAGGAACTGCGACCAGCACGATTCATGGGCCCATAAAAACTTGCTGCCAACTCTAACAGAGAACATTATTTATATTAGTTATTTTTTAAAAACAATGGATTACCATATTATACACACAAAACAAAGAACAATAACTTTAAGATGAGCATTATGCCATTACTATAGTAGTCAAGTAATAAAGTTGCAAGAAATTAATTTATCATTACTACATCTGTGCTGGAGGAAACTGTCAATCACATTAATGGGTCTTGGGCTACCAAGATGTTGGAAGCAATGAAGGCTCATGGGGATTTGCAGACTATCGGCACTTTACTCATCTGGTTCTTTTTTCTCTATACATTGGACCTTCCAACCACAGACAAACACTATGGAAACAAGAATTTAGAGTTATGAGGCATCAAGAGGGAGAAAAATCTGAAAATAGAATCAAACATTGTTTGCTGGCACAGAAGCTGTCCTATAGAGTGGTCTCTTCCATCAGCATGTCACATTTGTATGTGTTATATTGAACAGGAGGAAGTGCAAATTGAAATGATTTGGGTTTCTTAGGCAGTTTCCAAATCTACCCATGCAGAAAGCTTGATTTTGACATTAATACTTAAAACAGATTTTTGTGCTGGGAGCTGTATTAAAATCATAGTGAGAAAATGATCATTCAGGTTGTCTGATCACAATCTGAAACAAATGTGATTTTAAAAGCAAACAGTTCTATTAAGATTAACGTGTCTTATTCCCTTTTATTCAACCTTTTCACAATATTAATAAAACCAGTCATAGTGATTATGAAGGTTGGCACATCAGCAGTTTTAAAATGGATATTAAGAACATTCATCCCCCCCCCTTTTATTTTCCTTTTGGAACAGTTTTAAAGGGTATGGAAAAATGACACACAAATTGAAACCTTTGGGGAAGAGACCATAGGAAATGAAGAATGAACTGCTTTAAAACTGAAAGTCATTTAGAAATTCAAACTCAGTTTTGAAAAGATTTTGATTGCTAAATGGCCAGGATATGCAGAGGCAAGCAATGGCAAGTCACCTCTAAACATCTCTTGCTTCAAAACCCTAAATTGACAGGATCTAAAGAACAGTGAAATTAGCGCTCAAGCAGACTTTAAACTCATTTTTTATCATACAACAGATGATGGTGATAAATGAATAATATGAATAATAAGTATTTATATAGTACTTTTCATTCAAAGCACGCACTTTAGCTTGTTGTTAGCCTTCCACCAGTCCTGTAAGGTAGTGTAGCGTTACTCCTGTGACTTTGAGAATACATGACAAAGGTGAGATTTGAGCAGGAATAACTTTTATTGGATCACTGCTAAATTCTTAGGCCAGGATCTAAAGAACAGTGAAATTAGCGCTCAAGCAGACTTTAAACTCATTTTTTATCATACAACAGATGATGGTGATAAATGAATAATATGAATAATAAGTATTTATATAGTACTTTTCATTCAAAGCACACACTTTAGCTTGTTGTTAGCCTTCCACCTGTCCTGTAAGGTAGTAGCGTTACTCCTGTAGACAGAGGGTGACTTTGAGAATACATGACAAAGGTGAGATTTGAGCAGGAATAACTTTTATTGGATCACTGCTAAATTCTTAGGCCACTGTGCATACTTGGTAAGCTGCTTTTAAAACTAAGGCAGTTCAAAAAGCAATTTGTGATAAAACATGGCAGAGGAGAGGACTTGGAGACAACAGTTTCACAGATATAGCTTGATTGAACCTAAGCAGACTTTTGGATCCAGCCAAATTATGGTTTTCTTAATTGCAGCTCGACTCCTGCTTTCATTAAATGGCAGCTTTCATTTTGTTGTTCAGTCGCACAGTCGAGTCCGACTCTTCGCGACCCCATGGACCAGATCACGACAGGCCTTCCTGTCTTCCACTGTCCTCTGAAGTTTGCTCAATTTCATGTTCGTTGCATCTATGATACTGTCTAACCATCTCATCCTTTGCTGTCCCCATCTTCTTTGACCTTCATTACCTGACAATAAATTGAAGGCACATACAATTTATTGTCAGTAAACTTGGCACAGAAAGTGTTTCTTGAGAGACTACATAATTTATAACATTCATTGTCACAAACTGCTCACTTGTTCAGTTGTCTTTAAAGGGGAATTAGCC